CGACGCGCGAGGGCGCGCAGGCGCGCCACCGGGAGCGGCGCCCCGTCGACGTTGGGGGGGGCCTCGCGCAGGTACCCAATGCCCTCCTTGGAGAGGAAGAAATAGCGCGGATGCCAGCCGCTCCGGCCGAAAAGAGCCCGCCCTTTGGAATACTTCTCGAGCCACCCGGTGCAGGTCAGGAGGGGGGGGGTGACCCCCTCGCCGGGCTCGTGGTCACCTGAGGTGGATGAAATCTCCTCCATGGCGCGGATCCTCGCTCCTGTTCGTTTGACGAAGAAGGGGTTGTATGTATTATTCGAACTCTGCCTTGCTTTGCGTTTCTCTTGGGGTTTTGAAGCAATTTTGCCCAAGGGAAGTCCACTTCTCTCGCTCAGTGGGGGTTTATGATTGAAGTTCTTTTTTTTATCCACAAAAAAAACTATGCTAAAACTAATCAAAGTATTAAACTTCAACAAGTCCACTTAGACGACAAAAGAAGGGAGAGGGGTGTAACGGATGATGGCATTCACAGGAGCAACAGCACCCACCCGCGCACACATAAGACAATTCCAAGAACATTGGATCGCGTAATATGATAAGCTATAGCCTTAATCGGGCAACAAAAAGAGGAAGGATAGGCCCATTAAGTTGCAAAGTACTTCATAGCTCAACTCACGACGTTGAACTTAGGGGAAAGGAGGCTTCTACTCGTGAAACTCCTTCCAAGGAGGAAGAGGGTGAGACAGGGGATAGGGGTGAGGGGGAAGGAGGGAGGAGGGGAACAAATATACCTGCAAAATGAACAGTAGTCCATCTTCTTAATGGCATCTTTTCTCAATAATACGCAAAGTTTATTTCCTCCGGCAAAGCCATCGATAAGATTTATAAGGTATACTAATACCCAAAAAGTAGTCCCAAAGGAAGTATTTGTATACAGAGAAACAAAACACAAAGAAATAGCAAGGTAGATGCATACGCAAAAAACAACAACACTGAAAAGCATTTGATGTATCAAGGGAAAAAAAAGGTACAGTGAAGCGTATTTTTGGTAGTCCTGAAGCACCCTATTTTACAACTGAGATTTGAGTATGATCACGGAACAGAAGACGAGAACCTGGCTTTCATGGTTGTGGATTTTACGCAGGGAAATACACCCGAGTGGATCGATTTCATCACGATTCGCTCCTTCCAAAGGCACCACCCCTTTCCTACTAGGTTCCCTTTGGTAGCCATTTGTGTGGATTTTTCTAATCTAAATGTTGTGTTCCCCACAACATCAGCCACGTTTATCCTTTTTATGGAAAAGTCAACCTCTCTCTCTCTCTCTCTCTCCCTTCTCCTCCCCTCACTTCCCCCATACAGCTTTATGAGCTCAAATCGATATTTACACGTCACCATCGAATCATGCAAAAGACCATCGCCGTCAGCAGCAGCGTATCCGCGCCCGGCATGAACGTCATTTCCCCCACCACAGCTCTTTTGTTCAGGGAGTAATAGCCAATCGGTGAGATCCTCACCTTCGCCATGAGGTTGGAGCTATGAATTTCGCTGCCTGTCGGCGTCGTCGCCGCGGCCTCATTCGGTCGTGCAGGGCGGGTGATCGAGAACTGTTTCGCGTACGTCAGGGGAAGGATTCCGGACATTCCACTTTTGTCTTCGTGAACGCAGTGCATGCCGCTGCCGGCGCCCTCATCGTTGGCAATGAGGGTGAGCACGCCGGAGGTAATCGATGAGGGGTTCGCGGGGAGGGTGTTGAAGGGTCCGACAAGCCCCTCCCAACGATGCAAAACCCCCCCTTCGGGCTGCAGATGCGCGGTGTAGAGCACCTCCTCGACGCCACCGACGTTGAGGGTGAGCGAGAAACGCTCCTGGACGTCGCCGCTGCAGCTCGCAAAGGTGCGCCCGAGCGGTGTGGTGAAGTATAAGGTGCTTTTAAACGGAATCCGACTCTCTCGGATCGCGAGGAGTGGGCAGCGGCAATCTCCGTAGTACACCGTACTCGCCACCTTGGTCTGGGCATTCGTGACGATGTACAAAAACGCCTGGGGGGGGCTGTTTTTGCCGATGATGTGGAACTCCTCGCGTTCGGCGGCGCGGGATTCGAAGAGGATCCGCCACTTCACCGGGCGCTCCTCGCGCAGCACCCACGGCGAGGAGCGCCCGTCGCCCATCGCGCAGTAATCCGGGTAGGCGTGCCGCTCCCCACCGAAGAACATCGGCGGGGGGAGTTGATTCACCACCTCCCGGTAGTGCTTGCTCACGGCGCTGAGCTTTTTCAGCACCAGCGGGCCGGCGTACTCCAGCGCGGGCAGCAGCTCCACATCCTTCACCCGCACCGACGGGATCTCCGAGAGGGAGAAGCAAATCGTCTGATTCCCGTGCAGGTAGGCGGAGGCCTTGACGAGGCGCCCGTCCGGGAGCTTCGCGCTGTGCGTCGACACCCACGCCGTCGTCGGGGGCGTCTGCAGCGCGTTGAGGGCGACGAGGCGGCTCGCGTGGGCGGCCGCGCTGCTCACCAGAACGCTCCCCTTCAGCGTCGGCGTGAGCCTCCCGTCGAGGGGGTTGGAAAGCCCCTCGGCGCCGCCACTTCCCGGGGGGGCGATATGCCCGGTTCGAATCCCGGGCGTGGCGTCCGCCGTCTGCCGCAGCGCCCGCCGCAACACATCGGTGAGGACGTCGTGGAAGTGGACGCCGAACTTAATCGTCCCCATCATCGTCCGTTCAAAGTAAAAAAAGCAGCAAAGCTTCTCCCCGAGGGCGTAGCAGACGCTGCCGGAGTAGCCGCCCCACTTCCGGGGCTGCAGCATCGCGAGCCCGCAGTGGCCGTTCTCGATCGTCGCGGGGAAGTCGAAGTTCACGTAGAAACTCGCGTCCGGGGCGACGCAGCCGAGGAGGTGCATCGGGAGGGGGAGGGCGTTTTCAATCGAAAGCACCAGCCCCCCGCGGACGGTCGCGATCCGACGGCTGAGCAGCGTTAACATCGCGTTATGGGTGGGGAAGGCGACGGTGTGGTGCCCCTGCACCGCCATCACGGAGCGCGCCTCGCTCGCCCGCCGCCGCCACCCCGCGAGCTCCGCCACGCTCATCCCGAAAAGCCGCAGGCAACGCGCGTTGCCCCCTTCCATCGCCGCCGCGTAGGCATCCTCCATTTCCGTTTCTTTCACCTTCGCTTTCTCCCTTTCTTTTTCTTTTTCTTTCTCGGTCTCGCCCTCCCCCCCTCCTCCACGGCGGCCGCGTTGCGCCCAGAAGTCGTCATCCCCGGTCGGCTCCGGGAGGAGATCCGCGGTGAGCCGCGTGAGCCCCGCGCGATCGGCGCGGAGGATCCCGCGCAGGAGCGCCTCCGCGGCGTCGAAGGCCGCCACCGCCTCGGGGATCTGCAGAAACCGGCGGTATTCGCGGCCGAGGTAGAAGCAGGCCTGGGGCGACCGCCCCTCGGAGACCGCCACCGCCGTGATGGCGTCGCCGAGGGCCTTCTTGTACTGCTTCACCATCGAATACGCGTCGCAGCGGAGGAGGAGGAGGCGGAGGAGTTGGATGCGGTTGAACCCGCCGCGTGGGCGCCCCCCTTTCCCCCCCGTCCCACCGGGTCCCGACTCGGCGTCGCCGTGGGGACCGGTCGGCGGC